CTTTTTGATTACCAGCATTATTAATTCATTGTTAAATAATAAGGGATAGACCATTAGAAAAGGTATGGGGGAACAAAGTACAAAAAAATATTTATCCAAGAGAGAATCTTATGAAAAAAAAATACTTGTCCATGGGAAAATCTTTTGGAAAAAAATAATAATAATGCACTGGCCTAAAAAGATATATTTATCCCTGCATGGTTTAAAAATAACATTCACGCAAGGGAAATGTTAATAAAAAAAATTCATGCAGCTCTAAAATTCCCAACCCCCAGCTATTAAACTTTTCTGATAGTTTGGTTCATCCCTTACTGTAATTATTTCCCTTTGTTTAAGATCAGCTTGAAAAACAGCTTTAAACTTTTAAAATTTGACTTACAATAACTGTAATTTGAATTCCCCCTACCCCAAACAACAGCACTTGACAGCTGGGAAAGGTAAGAAAAGAATTCACAAGCCCAATGGCAAAATCCACTAGCCCTGGGCTATCAGATATGACTTTCTGTGTACACAGTGTAGATACATTTACTAAGGGTTATCATGGCAAATTGCATTTTAATTTGTCTAGTCTATAGAATCAATTTTGAGATTAATTTTGTTTCCTTTTAGCAACACCTTTTGGTTGGAGCTGGAGAAACTCGCATGGCCATTCACCGTAGTAAACGCTGGTATGATGCAACAGAGATGGCCCTTGGATATACACTGGTAAGTTGGACTTGACAATGAGAGGAAATAAATTTCCCTTTCAGTAATACAAACCTTTAAGGGGCTCTATGAGATCTTGTCAAGGTGAGCAGGGAAACAATAAATATTGATAATATCAAAGATGTGGATTCTCATATGTGAGACTGTCTCATTACCTACAGTGTGTGGTTGGGAAACTGATTATCTATGCCTACCTCCCCAACCCCTCTCCAAAGCACATGTAGGAGGAACTAGAAATTTGAAGGAGAAGGGGTCTGGGAATGGGGCTGGGGGGGTAAAAGTACATTACAGTACTTCATTGTTCAGTGTTCCCCTATATTTAATGATTGATTGATTAATTGATTTGATTGTGGGCTTCTGTTCATGCTAGCCCAAGTTGGTGTTTGACGGTGAAGGGCAAGAGGGATTAAGTTCGGTAACGTAACTGTAGTTGGGAATGGAATGCCGGCAAGGATGCTAGTTTTTGGCACCATTCCACCCCTCATTACAATCCATGAGCAATATTCCACTTTTAATATAGAACTTATTTCAAGTACCTTTTACGGCATGATTTTTATTTATTTTTTTTAATATTATGCTATGTTACTGCAGGGTCCAGTGGCTTATTCTGATCTGACTACACGCGAGCGTCTGGACCGTCCAGCTGTACAGGTTTACCAGCGCCACCCAGGTAATCAGCTGCCTGAAGCTCGTGAGATTGTCAAGGGAGGAGAAGGGTTACAAGAATCTCTAAACGCCACAGCCCGTAATATTGGTCTGCTGACCCTTACCAGAAAGAGAGTTGACGAGGATGCTAGAGATAAGCACCATGGTGCACTTATTGATGCCAGTGTTGTTCGCACTCGCAGACGCCTTGGCAATCACCATTGGGTTATAAATGGTGTTGGATGTTAATTAATAGTGCATTTAAAACTTCTCTGACATGACTCAACTTTAAACTGATTTTTTTGATCATATTTTCTTGCCAATGAGCATTATTACCAAATCTAGCATCTTGGAGATTTCCGTAGTATGATTGTAAATCTGAATTTGCAGTAATCCAAAACTAATATGTAACTTAAAATCTGTCTGATTAATTTTATACCTCTACATGTACAGTGTAGCAATTTACTTTGGAAAGAATTATGGAAGATACATTTATCAATAATATATGCAAGAACGTGAATGAAGATAATGTTAAAATTTTGTGCTTCACACAAGTTAATTGAACTGCGAACCCACAGATTCAATGATTCTATGCTTGCTGATTCACACAGATTTTAATGGTTCTCACTATTTTAGGATTGCTCTTGTGTTAAAGGCAGAAGGAAATTAGGCATCATCACTTAAAAGAAGTTTATTTATTGTGAAGTCTAAAACTTATTTGAAAGTATTGCATAAGCATGATCACAACATAAAAATGCAATAATTTAAATGTAGCTTGTGGGAGGGATTATGCAGAATCTGTACACAAGCTACAAATTAAATAAGAGCTTCACTCTAAAGGGTTTTTTTTCCCAACAATATTCTGTGCTGTCATGAAATAGGCGTGATAACAATAAAAGCAATAGAGTGTAAATGTGTGAATAAATTCTAAAAATCAAAAGCAGTGAGGTTTGATTAAGGCTGAAACCTGTCGGGCATGTGATATGTTTTGTAAACACCAGAACAAGGAAGTGGTTAGGGTTTGATTTCATGTAGGGGGGGGGGGGGGGGGGGGGGGGGCGCTGGG